GGAATAATGGTTTTTATTCACTGAGGCATACTGACAATTGATGTAATTTTTGGTATTATTACACTTTGTGAAAATTTAGAAATTAATTTTTCACATGGTCTATACTATAATAAACTTTATCCATCTTTTTTCTAATATTTTATGTTACAGTTAGTCAAAGCTCCATATGGTGATATTAATGTAAAAATTCTAAGAAAATTTTCTTAATAATGAAACATATGAAGTGATTATAACTGAATATGTTACCTATTTTTTCAATTTTCTTTTGGTTCTTTTTCCAGTAACTAAGGAAAAGAGATCGGAAATACATGTTATACAAACAAATTCATTCCCTCTAAATCACTCATTCATTGAACAATATAGTTGTTTTATATTTATTATGTGCATGGTTCCAAACTTGAAAATAAACTTGAAGAATATTTCAGAAATAAACTGATGACAGTATGATAATAACTATATCCCTTCATATTTTTTGTTCCATGATTTTCATTTTCATACTTGCATCCTTATAAGTTGTTCTCTACCTAAAATCTCCATTCAGCTAACATTTAATCACACCCTGGGGGATTCTGGGGATAAAGCCTCTTAGTTTGCATCAGCTCATAAGCCACTTACTCTTCTAATCCTTAACACAATTTCTAAATCCACATAAAATACGCAGTGGGGTGAGAGAGAGAGAGAGAGAGAGAGAGAGAGAAACTGGGTATGGATAGTGGCTGAGGATCATTTTAAGCAGAAAGTTCAGAAAATTGTGCCGCTCTGATTTGTAATTCCACAGACTCTGAAACTCATTGATAAAATGGAGGTGAAAGTCCACAAAAATAGAATATGAAAAAATACAGTAATTTAAAATAATTCTGATGGCCAAAAGTTATATACAGACCATGAAGAAGTGAAGCTTTACTAAGGCACTAGACTTTAATTCATGTTAACTGAAGTAAAATCTAGCTATTATGAGTAATTTTTTTAAAAAAATCATCTAAGAGGCACACATATAGTTATGTGTAAATTTTGTCTTATGGCTTATTAGCTCTGACTAGGTTAGATATTAAGATGTTTTGGTATATTAGCTCTGTCTTCCTGAACCAGGCTCTCTGGCAGAGACGAGGTAAAAAGAAAACTCAGAACGATCCTTCAGAGATTACCTCCACAAAAAAACAATAACAACCTATAGAAATTTAAGCAATACATTTCTAATTTAAAGTGTGAATTAACATTTGCCACTCACTATGTTTTCTTTCATACTGTTTCCTGAAAAATATAAAAAGGAAATAAAATTGTCAGAAATTAATTATCTGCCAGTTTTACTGGATAGTTAGTTCATCCAGAATTTGAAACTTGATTTAAAAAAAGTAAGATTCATCTTAATCATTCAATTTTATATTTGTTTATATCATTCCTGATCAGTTGGATTATCTCCTACTATGCAAATGGAGACTGAAGTGAACTCTGAGGAGAAGTATGTAACGTTAATATATAACTTCAAACAACCTTCCCTAGAAAGAGTTTATGATATAGACTTTGGCAGCCCTGGCCCTGGAGTCACCGGATTGTAGGCTCAGTCTCCTATAATGTAAAGTAAACATAATAATAACACCTTCCTAAGCCACCTATCATCTGCTGATATTCAGCATCGTTCCTATCTCTCCATATTGCAAGGGCTGGAAGTCTGAAAACTACCTTTTCCAGACTCCCTTCCAGCAGGGTTCAGGTTTATATTCTGCCAGCAAAAAAGACTGGGGTGATATTTGAATGGTGAAAGCAAAGCAGGAACCATTCTCCTCAGGTCACTTGGTGCAGCACTGCAGGTGGGCAAGAAGATCAGCAGTGCTGTCTTGCAATGCCTGTCATGTCTTTAGCGCTGCTCCCATTGGTGAATGTTCCTGACCTGTATTCTTAGCCAGGTTGAAGATTTTGTAAGATGTTTCCTTGTAGCAAATACTTTCCTGCCTCAAAGTCTGAGGGTAGTTCCAATTTCTGATCAGTCTCAGACAATACACTGTCTTATTGGCTTTCTGTAAGGATTAAGTGTTAATAGAAAAATGGACAAAACATTCTTAAATAATATCACCATAGAACTCACCATAACACTCTACAGCAAGGGCAAATCAAAGTGCAATGTGTGTGACATGCATATAAAGAGCAGAGGTTCTGGAGTCAAGTTTCTAGTAACAAACTAGTTAGAACACTTTCTGTGCCACGGCTGGAGGCAAGTTGTCTAGTCTCTTAATGACTCAAAGACTTAATTTTTTGGTCTTCAAAATTGGAATAATAATAGTAATATCCATCTTACAGAGTTGTGAGAACTAAATGCAATAATGTATATAATGCAAGGAGCTTTAAAAGTGCTTTACATAACTACTTGATAAATGTTATTAATATTTTATGATGGAAATAAATGCATTTTTAGAAGTTTCAACTATCATGTTTAGAAAAGTATGCTGTGTATATTTAAATGGAATGAAACAAAGAAATAAACAAACCAGAGAGAAGTAATGTACCCATCATTTATGCTAAAATCAGCTAAATGGTGCCTTTGTTCACAGCAGTAGTACTTTCCGTGTTTCTTATCGATACCTAATAAATTTGCACTTTCTTCATTCTAGGACTAAATGTAAACTCACTCTAAACCTAAGTGTGAATAAATGCATTACACTAATGTAGGACATAAAAACTCTCATTGTTGAATTACCAGCCAATAAAGTAATTTTGGAGATGGGTAAGAAAGAGTGAGGGCAGTGTTCTAGAACTCCTGACCTCAACATGTATATAGCTCTATTATTCATGATCGTAGGATATAACTCTCATAAGACTCACAGTTAACTTCTGCTACGCAGGTTTCATGTCTTTTTAAAAATTCTGTGGTACTCCTCTATTACTACCACTATACTAATACTATTGTTAATACTATTAATTAGACTGAAATTACTGAATACTGCATAGTGTACCACGTGGGTTTTGTTTGTTTGTTTTGAGATGGAGTCTCCCTGTTGTCAGCCTGGGTTGGAGTACAATGGCGCAACCTCAGCTTACTGCAACTTCCACCTCCCGGGTTCTAGCAATTCTCCTGCCTCAGCTTCCCGAGTAGCTGGGATTACAGGTGTCCACCACCATGCTCAGCTAATTTTTGTGTTTTTAGTAGAGATGGGTTTCTCCATGTTGGACAAGCTGGTCTCTAACTCCTGATCTCAGGTGATCCATTCGCCTCCGCCTCCCAAAGTCCTGAGATTACAGGCATGAGCCACTGCACCTGGCCTGTACTAGGTGTTTTATAAACATATTTACTCATTACAAAAACCCTAAAAGATAAGTAATTATGATTATTCCCATTTTACAGACAGAGAAATGAAGAATCAGTTAAGGGTAGGTGAATTCCCAAAAGTTATAGCTAAATCAGATTCTATGAAATCTATTACTTTTCCTATTACACATGCTTTCTGTTGCTTTTTCTTCATTTACATTTCGAAGTCATTTCATTAGAAGGCAAAGACTGCACGTTCTTTTTCAACATTTTCAAACTTGTTCGATATTTTCCTCAAGTAACTCAGTTCACCAAATATAAAAACATCAGTGTACACATAATGGGCACTTTTAAAAATAAAATATACAAATGCATTTGCTTAAAATATTATTCTGTAATACATCTACAAAAGCTAAAGCAATCTATCTTGATTCTACCTATACTACTAGTACTGTAAATTATATGTATAAATACTGCAGAGCAACTCAATGTAATCTGCATGCTTTACAAATGTATAGTGTGCAAGTTATAAGGTAGAATTTTGCTCTCAAACTTATCAATAGCATAACATTTATTCACATTTGAAGGAACATCAACCACTGATCAACTAATAGATAGGTTGATAGATAATAATGATATGGAGATGGAGTATAAATAGGTACGGATATATGTATATATGGACATCATATCCCACTAGGGTGCCAAAGACTAGTAAAAAATTTTTTCTGCTATATATTTAATGTTGCTTTCCTAGTCTGTCAAGATAAGCTGTGGCTCAGTTGTGTTCTAGTTTTCTTGAGAAATAAGCCTATTGTGTTTTCTAGAAATACACCAGTTTTTGTTGTTGTTGTTGCTGTTGTTTTTTTAGACGGAGTGTTGCTCTGTTGCCAGACTGGAGTACAGTGGCGTGATCTCAGCTCACTGCAATCTCCACCTCCTGGGCTTAAGTGATTCTTCTGCCTCAGCCTCCCAAGTAGCTGAGACTACAGACGCACACCACCATACTCAGCTAATTTTTGTATTTTTAGTAGAGATGGGGTTTCACAAGTTGGCCAGGATGGTCTCGATCTCTCGACCTCATGATCTGCCCACCTTGGCCTCCTAAAGTGCTGGAATTACAGGCATGAGTCACCTTGCCTGGCCCAATAACACACCATTGTAATCTAAATCTGAAAACATGATTCTTGCTCTTCTCATGATGTGGATCACATTTCAATAATAATGATGACTATGATTTTAAAATATCACAAAAAGGATGATGATAAAGAATCAACAATAATCATTGTTAACAATTATTTAACACATAAAATGGTCCAAATCTTAGGCTTTGTATATTTTATATCCTTTAATATCTAGAATATTCTTTTAAGAAGATAGTATTCTCTTTTTTGCTCCTGTAAGAGACTCTATGAGACTAAGCGCTTAAGCTCTGGATTTAACTGTGCAGACTTGAATAGTGACATTATAGCAAAGTAATTGAATCACCTGAGAAAACTTAATTACTTACCTCTAATTCAACTTCCTTGCCTATAGAAACTGGAAAATATTCCTACCTCATAAGTTTTCTTGTAAGAAGTAAACAAAATAAATACATAAAAAGTGCTTAGAACAGTATTTGGACAACAGTGAATGTTTAAAAACATTTGTTACAATTATGCTCATTTATATGGAAATCATTGGAAAATGATCAAATTATTTCCTTTCTATTATACTTGACATGGCTAAAGTCTTAATGAGAAAAGTACAAACATTGTCATACCTGTGTATCCAGTTTTACAAACACAGTTGAAGCTTCCTGGAAAATTCTGGCAGACAGCACCATTCTTGCAAGGACTCTGCAGGCACTCATTGATATCTCTCTCACAGGCCCTACCAGTGAAGCCATCTGGGCAGCTGCATGAAAATCCTCCCACTAAATTGTGACAGGTTCCACCATTGTGGCAAGGTGATGGAAGACATTCATCTATATCTATTTCACACCAGCTTCCCGCGTATCCTGGCAGACACTTGCATAGGAAAGGCTGCAGAGGTTCATTTGCCACGATGATGACTGGAAGACTCTCACGGCTTTTTAATACAGAGCTCACAGCCAATCTTCTTAGACAGCTCCCTCCATTCTGGCATGGGCCATGCACACAGGAGTCATGATCCACAGATTCCACCTTTACTCCACTCTGCCGAAATAGGATCTCTTTGATGCTTTCAAAGAAGGTTGCTACGCCACTGGGATTCACATACTGATTATGATTTCGCTTCACAGCTGCCAAAAGAAACGTTCTATTGTTCTCTTCATATGCACTGTACAGTTGCACAGCAGTCCCTAAGCCCGTCAGCTGTGAGCTGGCAATGCGTAAAAAATGAAGGTAGTGGTTGGTCAAAAAGTCCTTTACGGTTGGTATGCCGAGACGAAGTAAGATGCTGTTATCCACTGTGGCATTGGAAAATCCAGCAAAGAAAACTCTGATGTTGCTCGTGACTGTGCTGTGAACTCCATCATTGCTAAGGACGGTCAGATCAAACGTACCATCTGTGGACCTTGGCTGGGAATTCAGATCACAAGTACCCCCTGGAATACTGAAGAGGCTGGTAACTCCTGAAGTAAGGGAGCAGTGGAAGCTGTCTAACACATCTGGATCCTGTGGCTTCACAGAGCCTAAAATCCCACCAGGAAACAAGTTGCCATAATAATTAACAAATATCTCCACCGTCCGAGACTGTGAAGGATTGTCATTTTGGTCTATAACTGTGATATGCACAGTTCCTGTGGAAGACATTTGAGGAACACCAGAATCCTTGGTAACCACAGACAGATAGAAGTCTGCAATCTGCTCTCTGTCAATCTCTCTGGTTGTGCTCAGAACTCCAACAGTGCTCAGACTGAAATAATTGGTGGCAGGACCCGTGCTCAGTAAGTAATAAGTAAAGGGACCTTGATTTGGAGGGAGATCAGGGTCAGTGGACTGAAGGGTCATCACCAAAGTGCCCGGCCGTTTGTTTTCCATGACTTCTCCTTCACTGACAGTCAGCATGGGCCCGTTATCATTTATATCTTCCAGGGTGACTAATAAAGAGGCACTACCTGTAGCTGAGGGGGTCCCTGAATCAACAGCCAAAACTGAGAGGTTATAGATGGGAAGTGTTTCTCGATCTAATTCTGCAGTAACGGTGATCTGTCCTGTCTGTGGATTAATAGAAAAGGCACCATTTTCATTCCCTGATCCGATGAAGTAAGAAAACCTGCTCCAGCTGGGGATGGAGTCTGAGTCAAAGGCACTGACGAAAGTCACATGAGTTCCTATTGGGACCCCTTCACTGATCTGCACACTGTAGATGTTTAGAGTAAAAACGGGTGGGTCATTTGCATCAAGCACGGTGACATTTACAGTGACCTCATCTATATCTGCACCTCTAATGCTGCCAAAGTTCTTGGCCAATACCTTCAAAGACACCCTTTCTTCTTTTTCTCGATCAAGAATTCCAGAAACATAAATCTGTCCAGTCTTCTTATTAATCTGGAAACCCTTCTTTCGACTATTACCAAATATCAAATAATGTACCTCCCCATCAGTGCCCAAATCACGGTCGCTAGCAAACACTTCTCCAACAATAGTACCTTTAGGAGCTGCTTCTGAGATTTCAAAATAGTAAAGTTTGGAAACAAAACGGGGCACATATTCATTTGTCCCTTTTAATTGTACATTAACAGTGGCAAAGCTACACCTTTCCTCATCGGGGACATTGAAGGCTTTCACAGTAAGATGGTAGCTCTGCTTGGTTTCAAAATCCAAGAAGCCTTGAGTGGTTATGACTCCTGTGTTCGGGTCAATGACAAAGAGGTCACTGTCAGATGACTGTACAGTATATGCAATCACAGCATTTGTTCCAGAGTCAGCATCTGTTGCATTTAGGTGGATAACAGTTGTTCCACTTGGGGCATTTTCCAAAACAGTAGGGAAATAGTCATCAGAGAGGAATACTGGAGAATTATCATTCACATCAATCACATTTACGGTCACACTGCAGTAACCAGTTCTTGCAACCCATCCTCCATCTATAGCACTAATTGTCATTTCATGTTTCTGGCATAGCTCATAATCAAGAGCTTTGGCTAGTGTTAATATACCTGTAGAAGAATTGATTGCAAAAATGCCTTCTTCATTTCCTGAAGAAATGCTGTACTTTATCAAGCCATTCATCGCTGCGTCTCTATCTCTTGCAGAAACAGTTCTGACAATGGATCCAACGCTATGGCTCTCAGGGATAGTTGCACTCATGTGGCTTTGAGAGAATTCAGGCGTATGGTAGTTTTCCTCAGTGACAATTATTTCAACAGTTGCTTGGGAAGAAAGTGGAGGGTTTCCCTTATCCTTTGCAGTGACTGTGATATAAAAGTTTTGGTTCAAGTCAGAAATCAGGGAGGATGCTACTGAAATCCACCCCGTATCATTGTCCAACTTAAATTTTCCTAAATGGTTATCATTAGAAATGAAATACTCCACTTCTGAATTCAGTCCAAAATCTTTATCATCAATTGCTATAACTTTGATTAACTTCGTACCAACCTTAACATTTTTGGTGACTGGAGTGAAATACTTACTTTTAAGAAATTGAGGTGCATTGTCGTTACTGTCCACTATGTTGATGGTAACTGTTGTCTCACTAATTAAGGAAGGATTACCTCGATCTGAAGATGTCACTATAAAACTATGCCTGTTGATATTCACATTACTGAAGCCAGTGACATTCTGATATTTTAAGATCTGTTTATTGAAAATCTCTCCAGTGGTAGCATTAATCCTGAAATATTCTGATTGAGATTTTATAAAATAAAACACTTGTCCATTTGATCCCTCATCAGGATCTGTGGCAAATACCTGAGTTACTTTGGAACCAATCTCAGTAAGTTCAGGGCAATCTAAATAATAGGAAGGTCTGCCAAACCTTGGAGCATTGTCATTGACGTCTGTCACAAATATTGTGACGTCTGTACTTACAGTCCACCCAGAATCATGTGCAGAAACTCGAATTCTGTAACGGTCTGTATCTTCCCTATTTAAAGGTCTGCTTATGACAATATCTCCTGTGCTGGGATTAATTGTAAATGGAAGACTTGTGTCCATTATAGAATATCTACTAATTGCATTAATCCCAATGTCTTCATCAGAAGTTGTGACACGAGTAACTGTGTATCCTAAGGGGGAATTTTCAGGAACATGGGCACTAAATATCTGAGAAAACCTAGGGGCATTATCATTTTCATCTAAAATGTTAATCATGACTTTTACTGAAGTACTCTGAGAAGGGGACCCTTTGTCTGAAGATTTTATGGTTAGAACATAATAAGATACTTTTTCCCTGTCCAAAGGTCTAACGCTTCTAATTTCACCAGTAGCATGATTGATACTGAAACTATTTTCCATGTTGCCATTAACAATTTCATAATCTAACTGCCCATTGGGTCCACTGTCCTTGTCCACTGCTGAAACAGTAAGTATTTTTCGAGGGGAAAGGTTTTCCAGTATTTCAGATACAAATGGGTCTTCCTTAAAAATTGGGGCATTATCATTGACATCTAATACTGTTATATCAAGTTTCTCATAAGAGGAGAAAGGAGGGAAACCACCGTCTCTGGCCTCTATCCACACCACATATTTTTGTATCTTTTCAAAATCCAGAGGTTGACTAATAGACACCTGCCCTGTTAATTGATCAATCTGGAAAGTATTGCCAAGATTCCCACTTGCAATATAATATGACATAGGTTCTCCTCTCAAAGAGGATCCCGCAATGGTGGTGACAAGAGAGCTGACTGGTTGGTTTTCAGGAAACATGAATGTCTGTTCTTTGGCTCTGACTTTAGGGAAATCTGCCTTATTCACGAATCTAACAGTCACTGTTGTAGAATCTGTCTTTGGAAATGAGCCACCATCTTTTACATGCACAGAAAATGTCACTTCTGAAGCTCCGTTTAGTGGTCCAGCGGCCATAATGGCTCCCCTCAGTGGGTCAATGTGAAATTTTTCAGAATTTCTACCCGAAAGAGAGTAATGCAGTTCAGAATTTGGTCCAATATCAGCATCTGTGACTGTAACCGCAAAGACAAAGGAACCTATAAAAGAGAGAGTGTGCAGTTATAATCATGTGGAATTTAAATAAAATATTTGGTAGCAGATTGCTGCTTGATGTGACCTTATTTTCTCATGATTACTGGGGAGAACAGTATCTCCTATATTTTCTCAGAAGTTCACAAGTCAAATCTGCTTTATTATTGTCTTCAGAGACTAACCTGCCATTTTCTAACTAAAATTTATAGTCTGTTGGATTTAATACTTTTCAGTATGCCTTTGAGAGAAGCATAGGGAAAATAACTTGTTAATCATGCAAAAATCATAGTTTCTAGGAGAAAAATCTGCATATAAAACAACATTCCAAGAAACATAATATGCGAGCTCTGCAAAGCGCTATGCCTCTACCCAATGCAAAGATACCATTGCCCTAGTATGTCTTAAAATATCTTCCAATCACTTTATATGTAATTGTGTCAACAAAAATCATATGCTCATTACCATTGACTCCTTATCCTCACTGTTTTATGACAAAATTCCTTTATACGTGAACTATTATCAGATGAAGAAAAAGTATGTATGTGTATGTGTGTGTATATACATACATACACATATATATATAAGCCAATTAAAATACAATTAAAATAATTGTAAAGTAGTAAGAAATAAGAATTGAGGGATAATGGACTCATTTTGGACTCCAAAAGTTAGTGCTTACACTGAGTGCCAATGAAACAGATTGTAGTAAAAATATGCAGAAAAGCTGCCATAAGGACATATTTTCAATCTACTCATTCAGAAACCATTCCCAAACCTGCACTCTCACCCCTACAGAAGAAACGGTAACAAAAGTAAAATATCTTTTATTTTAAAAAGGCCAGTGATTCTGATTAATTATAATAAGTCCAATGAGAAAAAGATGCTTAAGCATACCTCATTTTACATAGGAAATGCTATCTTGCACCACCACACATTGGATGTAATTAGAACCACGCCTGCCAACATCACTTCATCTGAAGACCTTTAGTAGGTATTTGTCACTTCGATATTGACATTTCCTTCTGATAGAAAGTTGGCACATACATTTATGAATCTTATATTTTAGATTGGTATCATTTTCAGATTAATAGAAGATCAAACATCACTGAAAGGAGGATCTATTTACTCAATCTGTTTATTTTTTTTTCTAATCAAAATATTTCCAAGCAAGGAAGATTAAATCAATAATGAGCTATATTTCTATATTTTCCTCTTCGAACACTCATTTTAAAAATTAAAAATGGCAGATTTGTGTAGTTCTTAAGAGAGTATGCCTTTCTTAGTAAGTGCCAAACTAAATTTAAAGAGCTATAGAAAGATAAAAGCGTATTGTCAATATGAAAATTATTCATAAATGGATCCATAAACTTCCTAACAGAACAATTTTCATTTGTAGAACCTGGGATAAAATAAATATTAACAAGAAGTATCCATTTATTAAACTTTTTGAAAATGTATCTATGAAAAACTGAAGTAAAATATTCATTTTCCACTGACAAATATATTTGAATGCCTATTATCTCCCAGATCACGTTTCAGGTAGTGGGGTATGGCATGCAAAATGGAGACAATGCCCCTCCTCTTAGGAAACTTACACATAATTATTCTTCAGGCCACAAACATCATTAACTATGATGTAATATATATGTTAATTATTTCTAATATTCAAGTAATATTAAGAAATAGTAATACGTAACAATTATAAAACTTTATACACAATTAGTCTGGCAAGAAAGGGTTAATTTTCAAGTTTCAAGCATTTTTTCATTTCCACTAGACAAAACCTGCATTTTAGAGGATTTGCAAAATTAGGTGATATCAGAAATATGTATGTAAAATATCATAACTATTTTTATAGAAATGTCTGATACATAGTTTGCTTATATCCATGTGGCCTCAGAGTTTGGTTGATTACCTGGAAGGGTAGGAGATGGGATGTGAGTGACATATGGGTGATGCTGAAATCTTGGTGGATTGTCATTGACATCAGTCACAGTAACAAGCACACTGGTGGAACTGGAAAGAGGCTCTGGGTATCCCGCATCACTGCAGACTACCACCAAAGTATAATTATCTTTTGTTTCCCTATCTAACAATGCACTTGTGATGATTTGTCCTGTGGATGGGTTGATCGTGAACTGAGAGTTTCCACCGATGATCCTATAACTAAAGAAGAAAGCAGAAATAGGGATATCATTCATACAGTTTTAATATTGTAACTTCTATTTACTATAATTAAAAAGCTGAGGTAGAAATGCAAGAAAACATTAGAAGAAAGATCATACAACAATGTTGGAAAGAATACAACTAGATCTAGCTAATAAATATTTCAAATTTTCTGTGAACATCACATTGATCTTTATCATGAGATGTCCAGTGATGTCAAGGAAGTCTTCAGAAGGTTTGTAGGACTCTTAAGTTGTGCAAGGCCACCGAATAAACCCATAAGGCTTTAAATAAATGAGCTGAAAAGCATAAATCAGGGGACTTGCTTTAATATTGTGGTTAGTGGCCAGGATTACAAATGAATATCTTTTAAATGAAACTAAAAATTATTTTTCTGCTGTATCCCATAATAAACCAGAGAAGATCAGTTGAAAATTGTATTCTTTTAAGACAAAACCTGTGTTTGACATGTATCTGCTTCTCAGAACAACTCAAAGACTGATTATTTATACAAAGACCTTTCTAGTGATTAATTCTGTCTTTGTTATTCCTCATATGGTTTTGTTGCTTTCTTGTCAGGAGAGGTATGACATCTTCATGGATGTTTTGATGCTAACCAGATAGGTTAACAGGCAGGAGTTTCCACTGAGAAAAGCTTCCCTCTCCTTTCTAAAGAGTAAAGTTGTCTGCATATACTCCTGATTTTGTGTATAAGGTAGGGTCCCAGAGATGAGCCAGGAAAGAAGTAGCTAAGCTTGAAGGTTCAGAAATTGGCTATGATCCATAATTTTTAAAGTTGAAAGATAGCATGGAAATAGATATCTCTAAAAGTTTTCTTCTTTTATACCAACAAAGAAATACCCTTGTTGGAGTTGGCTGCATGTTTCTGCAGTTTGCTTTGTGTCTATATAAACATAGCAACAGCATATACCTAATATAAACTGCAGGGGAAAAAACTGTATATTGCAGCCAGTAATATGTTCATTCCTCCTATTATGCTCACAGTTTAAAACAAATATTTCAGCATTTTTTATCCCACTTTACTGAAATAATCAACTGTTGAGGAACTTATATTTAAAAATATCAGAAGTCTTATAAAATGATAGCAAAACAGGGAAAGAATAGAGAAGTAGTTTGGTTGAGAAATGGCTTCAGTATTGATAAAGTACTTTGTATCACTCAGATTTTTAATACGTTTGGCAAATCACATGACAGAATGAGGCATGTGTGAAAATAGCATTAACTATAGTTGTTGGGCCAGAAGTGACTATTAAGTATAATTATTGCCCTTTACAGTAGATAATATCTATCCTGTTTATCAGAATATAAATATCAAGTTTTAAACATGAATTCTTAAAACTTGAAAATTCAGGACTCAAAAAATAATCAAAATACCTTATCATTTTACAAAGTGTAGAAAACCGAATTTGAGAATTGTGTAATCTTATTTTTGGAACCTTGTTGCTATCAGTAGATGTAGAAGTAATCAAATAATTTAATCGGAAAAAAAAGAGTAAGTCATACTGCCATAAACTTTTTTAGTTTTATAATGGCCAGGATCAAGGTTCAATCAAATATTTATTCCTATAAATATTCACATATACAAATAAAATGAGATTGATAAAAAATGTAAATTTTCATCTGGATGTTTTATATATGTCAAGACTATTGTGTATTATTAAGCATAACGCGTTGACAGGCAAATAGTGTGGCCTTTAGTACAGTTTCACTAAATGATCCATTCAAAATGACTTGCTATGATTTAAATGTTCCCTTCAAAACTCATCTTGAAATTAGTCATTGTATCAGAATTGTAACAATCTTAAGAAGTAGGGCCTTTAAGAGGTGATTACACCATCAGGGTTCCATCATTATGAGTGAATTAATGCCATTATCACCGAAGTGAGATTTAGTTATTGAGGGAATGGGTTTCTGATAAAAGAATGAGTTCAGCCTTATTTCCTCTTTCTGTCTCACATGATTGCTCATCATGTGATGCCTTCTGCCCTTCTGCCATGAAATAACAGACAGGAAGCACTCACCAAATGCAGGTCCCATGCCCTTAGACTTCCCAGCCTCCAGAAATGTGAGTCAAATAAACTTCTATTCTTTATAAATTACCCAGTCTGTGGCTATAGCAGCAGAACACAGACAAAGAAACCTATGTTATAAATTCTGATTTTCCTATTTTATGCTATTGAACATGCTATTGTCCATATGATTGTCTACTTTAAAGTAGGTAATATATTTAGTACTTTTTTACAATGAATGAGTAAATTGTCATTAATATCTAATTAATTTTTTCTAGACTTCACTAGATTCTAAAGCATATAAAAGTATATTTTAAATATGAGATGTTCTATAACACCAGATGGATGCAAATTTATACTTCAAAGTCTTTTTAAAAACACAAGAAACACAAGAAGCTCTGTACTTAGATTGACAGTTAAGATAATATGTCTAGATTTTTGCCACATCTCTTACTTGAGGTTTGGTTCTATTCTCATCCCCTCTGATGACCTCTCTTGCTTTTCTGGCCTGCATTAATTTTTGTAAAATTAAAAACTTTATCAGATTGTGTCTTGTGGTATCTTCTTAACAGTTAAACAATTATGCTGTTATTTAAATATTTCCAGGAACTTATTGATTTCTTAGTGCATATCAAGCACACTACATGGCCATTTATATATGCTCTTATTTAAATCCCAAAACAGTCCTTACAGTTTATTCTTAGTTTTGACTGTTTAGGGATAAGGAATCTGAATCTAACAGAGACTAAAGTAGTTGCACAAAGAAACATACAATCCATAAATAGCAGATCTAGAATTTGAATTTCTGTCTTTAAGACTTCAACATGCACTTTTCCATTATACCACAGTAGAAGGAAGGTAAAACTCAACTGAGGGAATGTAGTGAAGATGGGAAATGTACCGATTGCTAAGGCCAACATGGACTCTTGGTCAAGTTGTGTCAAATAGAAGTTGTTCACATTTAGTTCAATGAAAATCAATAAACATGTTGATTTATTTTCTAATTTGAGAATACATTAATATTTCAAATTATTTGAATAAACAGAGACCACTGTGATCTGAACTCTAAATCAACTATAGCTTTTGTAAAGTTAAAATATCCCCATTTGATTTTTTTAAACTTCTTTGCCTCTTCCTGAGTTCTACTAGGGTTATAGGCATTATACTGTCTACTGGGAGAACACGATCTTTAGTAACAGTTAAGAGACTGATGCTAGGAAGAAACTGCATCAACTAACGAGTAAAATAACCAGCTAACATCATAATGACAGGATCAAGTTCACATATAACAATATTAACCTTAAATGTAAATGGGCTAACTGGTCCATTTAAAAGACACAGACTGGAAAATTGGATAAAGAGTCAAGACTCATCAGTTTGCTATATTCAGGAGACCCATCTCACCTGCAGAGACACACATAGGCTCAAAGCAAAGGGATAGAGGAAGATCTAACAAGAAAATGGAAAACAAAAAGAGGCAGGGTTTGCAATCCTAGTATCTGATAAAACAGACTTTAAACCAACAAAGATCAAAAGAGACAAAGAAGGCCATTACATAATGGTAAAGGGATCAATTCAACACAAAGAGCTAACTATCCTAAATATATATGCACCCCATACAGGAGCACCCAGATTCATAAAGCAAGTCATTAGAGACTTACAAAAAGACTTAGATTCCTACACAATAATAATGGGAGACTTTAACACCCCACTGTCAACATTAGAGAGATCAATGAGACAGAAAGTTAACAAGGATATCCAGGAATTGAACTCAGCTCTGCACCAAGTGGATCTAACAGACATCTACAGAACTCTCCACCCCAAATCAACAGAATATACATTCTTCTAGCACCACATCACACTTATTTCAAAATTGACTACATAGTTGAAAGAAAGCATTCCTCAGCATATGTAAAAGAACAGAAATTATAACAAACTGTCTCTCAGACCACAGTGCAATCAAACTAGAACTCAGGACTAAGAAACTCAATCAAAACTGCTCAACTACATGGAAACTGAACAACCTGCTCCTGAATGACTACTGGGTACATAACGAAACAAAGGCAGAAATAAAGATGGTCTTTGAAACCAATGAGAACAAAGATACAACATACCAGAATCTCTGGGACACATTTAAAGCAGTGTGTAGAGGGAAATTTATAGCACTAAATGCCCACAAGAGAAAGCAGGAAAGATCTAAAATTGACACCCTAACATCACAGTTAAAAGAACTAGAGAAGCAAGAGCAAACACATTCAAAAGCTAGCAGAAGGCAAGAAATAACTAAGATCAGAGCAGAACTGAAGGAGATAGATACACGAAAACCCTCCAAAAAATCAATGTATTCAGGAGCTGGTTTTTGAAAAGATCAACAAAATTGATGGACCAATAGCAAGACTAATAAAGAAGAAAAGAGAGAAGAATCAAATAGACACAATAAAACATGATAAAGGGGATATCACCACCGACCCCATAGAAATACAAACTACCATCAGAGAATACTATAAACACCTCTACGCAAATAAACTAGAAAACCTAGAAGAAATGGAAAAATTCCTGGATAAAAATACTCTCACAAGACGAAACCAGGAAGTAGTTGAATTCCTGAATAGACCAATAGCAGGCTCTGAAATTGAGGGATAATTAATAGCCTGCCAACCAAAAAAAGTCCAGGACCAGACGGAGTCACAGGCGAATTCTATCAGAAGTACAAGGAGGAGCTGGTACCATTCCTTCTGAAACTATTCCAATCAACAGAAAAAGAGGGAATCCTCCATTCCTCATTTTATGAGGCCAACATTATCCTGATACCAAAGCTTGGCAGAGACACCACAAAAAAAGAAAATTTTAGACCAATATCCCTGATGGAACATCGATGTTAAAAATCCTCAATAAAATACTGCAAACGAATCCAGCAGGCACATCAAAAAGCTTGATCCACCGTGATCAGTGGGCTTATCCCTGGGATCC